AATTGTTTAAAAATAGCTTTATATAAGAAAAAAAAATGCTATCTGATTATTATTAATTGGCATTTTATATGTAAAAAATAAAAAATTGCTATAAATTAACCAAATTTTAATAATAAAGATTTGTTCCAAACTTTAGCAAAAAACCAAAAACCCGGTTGTTTTGGATATATGCTCAAAAACCTGGGTTTTTGCCAAGCCTGGAATCCTTATAATAAATTTTTTAGAAAAATTCAAAAAAAAATTCAGCTTTTGCTATTTTTTTGTGGTTGACTTTCTACTTCTGTTTTTAATATTTTAAAAATATTAAAAAACTTAAAGACTAGAAATCTTTGCAGCATAGGAATACACGTTGTGTTTAACTAAAAATAAATTTTATCTGGTTTAAAAACTTGCTTTTGATTTTAAACTGAATTTACCTAATAAAGTAAATTTTTTTGCAACAAACTACATAAAAAAACAAATTAGTAACTTATTAAATCATAAACTATAAATCAAAATCAATGAACATCTTTAGAAATCTCGCAGTAGTATTTTTTATAAAAAGTTGCTTTTACTCATGATTGCTTTTGTGCTTGTCTTTAATGAAGTCAACGATAAATTATCTTTTAGAAATTTTCATTAAGTAAGATTGACTGCTCAGTTGTCATAGAAAAAATAGTGATTACATATTTTATTGATGAAATAAAAAGAAAAATATTTACCATGGATTCTACTGTAATAATAATTATGATTTCAATTTAACAATTGATTGTTTGAATCACTTTTATTGAAATTGAAGTAAAAGGCTAAATATTTACTTTGAAAAAAGTAATAAGTAATTCAAAATCAGCATAAAAAATTAATAAAGAAAGAGTGGTTTAACTACAAAAAATCCAATAAAAATTAATTTTGAACCCCCTTCTTATTTTAATTTTTTACTATTTCTTTTATTTTCACAATATTTCTTATCTATGATTAAAATGAAATTTGTTCTAAAGAAAATACTTTTTCTTAAATATAATTTGTAGTACAATTTTATTTTAATGAATAAATTAACCTAAAGTTTATATATTAAATTTTTTTACTACATTATTAAAGATTGTTTTTTATAATCACATTTAATTATTATTCCGTCAAAAAAGCAAAAGATTAAACTTGAAATATTTTTTTTTAACAGGTAATAATTATTTATTACTAATTCAATAAATTTTTGAGCTAAGCAACTTCATAGCAAAAATCAATCAAATCAAAGTTTAGCTTGATTGGTAAAATTCAAAATAAAAATATAAAAAGAAATATATTTATCATAATGTTTTAGCATCCAGGTTTCTACATTTGAAAAATATCAGCTTGATTGATGAATTGGGTTAAAAGTTACGATTGAATCAAATAGATCAAAATTTAAAAAGTTTAAGAATTTGGAGCTAAAATAAGATTTTTAAAATTTTTAACAGACCATAACTTTGTAAAGAAAATAGGAGATCTTCTGATTTATCGTACAGTAATAGTTTTTCACCCAAATAATCCATATTTGCAGTTGTTTTTGGATGATTTTAAACAGTTATCAGATTATTTTATCTTATGGTTGCTAAAGAATGCAATTTTTAGAAAAATTTGAAAACTTTTTTGTGCTCCAGTTCAATACCTAAAGACTGATAGTGCAAATTTTTGGTATTTTTTTTGTACTTAAAGTAACCACTGGTGATAAAATTCAACTCATGCCGCAGTTTGTTAAAATACCATTTTTTTAAAAAATATGATAAATTAAATTTTCTTTGTAAACATAGAAAATAGTATAAGCAGTTAAATTAAATTAGGAATATTTTTACTGTGAATTTTTTATATAAAGACAATTAAAAAAAAAAAAAAGTTAGAGACTTATACTTATGACATTATTAAGTCTAATGACTTTCTAATTTTTCTCTGATTGAATCAGATTATTCATGATGAATGAATTCATGTAATCAGTTTTCCAATAAATGATATAATTACTCAAACTAGTGCATTAATGTTGATCGTAGTGGAATACACTTGGTTTGCGTCTGTTCTTACCATCGAAATGGTAAGTTGGTTTTCACTGCTCAATCTAACGGCCAATTGATATTTCATAAAAATTTGATAAAACTGTGTAAAAATGTGTTTGTAAAATAGATAGTCAAAGGATGCTGTTTCATCTCTGTTCTAACTGTCCTGATAAAGTAAATATAAAGACTTATTTGGAAAATGTTTTAGAAAAGTATGATTTAATCATAATTTGATATCAATATAGGATGTCAACTGACCGAATTAAACTTGTCACAGACCAAGCAAGCATTATTAAATTTATTGAAACTCAGAATAAAGCTTTGTATGACCTTAATCAATGCCACTTAGTTTCCTAAGGCACTTTTCTTATTCTTAAGGATTTTGCAGAGATTGTTTCTTTGTGTGTGAATATTAAAAAAAAATTGTAAATTACTTTAAAGAATGTTTAGTGAATAGCAATAAAGTTTATTATTTCTCTGCTGCATATTCTGCTCTT